ATCCAAAGCTTTCCAAATAACTTCGTACTCGCACTACTATAATACTGATGAAATATATACAAATAACAAAAAGTTGCTCCCGATTGCTCAATAAAGCATAATTCATTGTAACGTGCATATACGGGTGAATTTTGCTCATTTTTTTCCAAAGAAACGGTTCAAATGCAGGCTGGTATAGGGAATGCAACATTATCCCTCATACAATGGATGCTGACTTCGCTGCTCCAATAGAACAATACAAGCCAGAGCTTCTGAAAGACTTCGGAAATCGATCAAATGAAGGCACAGCACGAAATCGAATGGAAGAATATTACGCCCTACGCTCCTTGGCAAGGGGGTTTTTACTAAAGCCTATAAAACACGCACTCTACAAGTCGCTCAGAGGAAAGCCCCTTCTCACAGTAGACCACCTGACCACAGTTTTGACGGAAATCGAGGCCTGCTTAAACTCCAGACCATCAAACCTATCAAGGTTCAGAGCAGGACAACCGATTTCCTTAAGAAAGACATCAAGCTCACATTTCCATACCAAATCCCAGAACAATTGATGGATCCAGATTACCTGCCGCCGACGGAAATTCTGGTCTGGCAACAAAAATCGAAGCTGAGAAAGCATTGCTTTCATCATGCCGAATCACAGACCAATTTTGGAAAGTTTGGCAGATGCAGAACTACATAACCAGCCTACGGGAGACACATAAACAACATATTTCCTCCAAACGTCGTCATAACTGTACCCCAAAAGTAGGAGAAGTTGTTCTCGTGAGTGACCCTATTGTCCCAAAGAATGACTGGAACCATCACAGGGACAGACGGACAAATTCAGGAAGTGGAGTTAGTTACCGGAACGAGACGAACCATGAAACGACCTATCAATCTCACCGTGCCGCTGGAACTCAAAGACGACAAAGAAGCAAATGGAAACGAAGACGGCGCTTACTCAGACTCAACAGTTCAAGACCAACCTATGACACAGGAGCCCTACAACCTAAGACCACGCGCGCAATTACACGGCTATATCACGTGGCGACGGCCAACCCCACATGGAAAACGCACGCTGTATCTAGAAATTGGTTCATTTTCTGCGTTATGCTTCTCTCGCTACTTCAAGGGTCCTATGGAATTTCACAACTAAAGGACACAGGAACTTGCACCAAAACACGGTAAAGAATAGGCACGCAAACTAAGAACTATACCCAAGTTCATACCCAGTCACACCTTCCCATAACGGGTCCATCCTTAGCCACACTGCCACCGCACACCAAGTTTGACCATGAGGACCTTTCGAAAAGGAATAGTAATGGCCGCGTAAAAACAAGGGCGATGCAACTTTGCGACTTCAAAAATGTCGAGCGCAGCCTTCGCTTAGCAATCCTATCCAAACCCGAAGGGTGGCCGTTATTGAGACTCTCGCTGTATTACCAAGGAGTTATGGTCTGGCCGCCTTTATCTATTTTCTGCAGTACGCAAAGTTTCTGGAAAGCGAAAACCTAGCTCATGGCTACACGCCTTGTTTCGCCTTTCAAAATGATATCGAGAGAGAGCACTTCGCTCACAATTTCAACTTTTGATATGCACGCTCAAAACCATTGACCAAAAAACGCACTAAAAATTACAGAATATGAGTAAGAGACTAATCATTGAACTATCCATAATAACACCGTTTTCATTCACGCTGATATTACTCCTTCAGACCATGGATGTGTACGAAGAAATGAGACGCTTACGCCGAATCAAGGAGGCTATTCCACCGCTTCCCGAGCCTTACACGCTGTACAACAAGATCGTACACAGAAGCATGGAACTCCGTATAGCTACTCGCTTTATGAGTGATCTTTTTAATCGTATTCAGGAACTGAGAATTTCCAGAGAAAGTCCTAAAGAACGCCTGCAACAATGGAAGCTGCTCCTGAGAGAAAAAACATATGCTGAGTTCGCGCTATTACGCATAGAGTTCCGCACGCTTTTCGCCGCCGTGCCGTTGGTAATCGCGAATGATATCTGAGGATGACTTGGAATGTCCTCATCACCAAACCGCGGCGCGATGACAGAGGAAAAGCGCTTGTGCTGGATCAACATCAGCTCGAGCGTGTCATGGCGGACCAATTCGACATTCTTGAAGAGTACCGACTGATGCTGGCAGAACTAAGACACGAGATAAAGGACGAAGAAAGTCACCAGGCGGAAGAATTCAAAATAGCGTGCTATCAGCTTTCGAGGATGTCAGTGAATCAGTGGAGACTGGATTTCGAAACTTCACCCCGAGCAGTGACCGGAATCATCTCGAGGAGCTGAGGAACATAGTCCAAATTGAGACGTCAAAACTTCAAGAAGACATCGCTTTGTTCGTCGAGCATTTGCGCAACACAGTTACTGAGGCTATGTCCAGTTTTGTCGGCACTACCAACCACAGAAGAACACGCTGAAGACAATATTGAAGACGCTAGCGATGGTGAGGGGGAGGGCTTTGAGGTGCTCCAACCAGAGCCGGCCTCCTCAATGAACCAAATGGAAGCAGAGATTATCCAGCAGAATGTAGAATTTATGGAAAATGTAGGAAATGGACGATGAGGAAGAGTACGAGGGCACTGAGGTGGCAGCGCAGACGTCAGATAGATAGAAAACTCCTACGACGCCTACGCAGAAATCCAGGAGCTAGACGAACTCATCACCGAATTTGAGAAGGAACCTAAATTTAAGCCTAGGAAATTTCGAACGAGACTCACAAGACGCTTGGACGAGAGAAACGATTCGCTGGTTTTTGCGAAAGAGGTGGAAAACATTTGCGACATCTACAAGGAAAGCTCGGTGCGCAGACTTATACTCGAAAGAGACC